GGGGCTCCGGAGCCGCCGCCGCCCATGTCGTCGGGGCCGCGCAGGTACTTGGTGTAGTCTCGGCTGGCGCGGCGCATGGCGCTCGGCCCGCGGCTCGGGCGCTGTCCTGCCTCGCGCTCCCTCCCCGTCTGCTCTGCCCGCGGCCAGCTCCACGGGCTGCGGCGGGGCCGGCGCGGGGCGCGGACCGGGAGCCGGGCGGTGGCTTGTGGGGCGCGCGGGAGAGCGAGCAGGGCGCCCGGCAGCCCCAACTCTTATAAGGCGCGCGGAGAGGGCCGGCCCCCGGAGCCAATCAGCCCCGGGCGCGGCTGCCGCTTCCACTCCCACCCCGGGCTCCCCTTCCTGCCGCTCGCCCTCCCGCCCCCGCTCTGTCACTGCAGGGCCTGCTCCCCGTCGGGGCCCGGGGAGCAGGAGGCCATGCACTGTCCCTGTGGTTCCAGTCTCCGCTTCCCCATCCTCAGCGGCCTTTCTAGAGGTCCCAGGGAAGGGCTGGGGAGCACGCAGACTGCGCCCGCAGGACAGGGTAAGGGTTGCATGGCGGACTCTCCTCGGAGTGGCCCCCATCCCTGGGTCTCAGTTTCCTCCCTAGGGTTTAGAAAGTTGAACTGGACAATCCCTGAAGAACTGCACGCCCCCCACCCCACCCCAACGCAGAAAAAAAAAGAAATTCAGCAAGGAGCATCCTCGAGTATCTGAAGGGTTTGGTCTCTATCTTGGTTCCAATATAGTTTCCCAAAGTATTTGGAAAGACTTTGGAAATTCCAGATCCCCCTTCCCAGATTCCTGTCTGCATCGTCAGAGTGGCTTTGAGTGAGGCACGTGCCTATGGACCCCAACCCCGACTTGATAAAAAACAAAAAGCTGCAGAGAAGAGGGTGACTGAGTCTGAGGCCAGTGGCAGGTAACCCGGGAAGTGTTACACGCGGCTGATGATGAAGTGAAGTGTTAGCTTCACTGCTGAAGAAAACTTTTCAGAGCTTTTTAAAAGCCCTTATTCAGAATCGGGGGCCTTAGTGACAAAATGAAAATGTTAACATTGCTCTCAAATTCTGATGCATTTTCAGAAGGAAAGAGGGGAGGCACTGGCCAATTCAAACACCCATAAATCTGAGGATGTTTCCACTTTTCTCGTAATACAGCCCAACATCCATCTGCATGGGTACAGATGGGTTCTGCCAACTACAGATCAAAAATACTTGGGGGTGGCTCGGAGCCTGTGGCTCAGTGGTTAGGGCGCTGGCCCCATACACCAGGGCTGGCGGGTTTGAACCTGGCCTGGGCCTGCTAAACAACAGTGAAAACTGCTGCAACAAGAAAAAAAAAGAAAAAAATAGCTGGGCGTTGTCGTGGGCGCCTGTAGTCCCAGCTACTTGGGAGACTGAGGCAAGAGAATCGCTTAAGCCCAAGAGTTTTAGGTTGCTGTGAGCTGTGATGCCACCGTACTCTACCCAGGGCAACATAGTAAAACTGTCTCAAAAAAAAAAAAAAATACTTGGGGGAAAAAAATGGATAGTTGTGCCTGGACTGAACAGGTATAGACTTTTTTGTTCTTGTCATTATTCCCTAACAATACATTACAACAATTAGTTACATAGAATTCACATTGTATTAGGTATTATAAATAATCTAGAGACAATTTCAAATATACAGAAGGATTGCATAGGTTATATGTAAATACTATGACGATTTATATAAGAGACCTGAGCATCTGTTGATTTTGGAATCTGCAAGGAGTGGGGGTGGCAGTGTCCTGAAACCAGTTCCCCATGGATACCGAGGAACTAGTCTTACTTTTTTTCTTTTATATCTCTTTTCTGCGTAATTCTCTAATGAGCATTTCTTCAGGCAAGACTTCTCAAAAATGACACATTTCTGAGTTATTAAAGCATGTGGTCTAAATTGAACATTTAATTCTCTGTACTTGTTGAATAAAAGTGACAAGGTTGGGTTTTTTTTAAAAGCACCCATTAGGCTCGGCGCCTGTAGCTCAGTGGCTAAGGCACCAGCCACATATATACACAGGAGCTGTTGGGTTCAAAAAAATATCTGGGCATTGTGGCAGGCACCTGTAGTCCCAGCTACTTGGGAGGCTGAGGCAAGAGAATCGCTTAAGTCCAAGAGTTGGAGGTTGCTGTGAGCTGTGATGCCACAGCACTCTACCCAGAGTGACATAGTGAGACTCTGTCTCCAAAAATAAAAATAAGAGCACCCATAAAAGGAAATTATTTGTTCAAATGCAGAAACGCCTTTAGCATCTGTATATGAATGAATATCTTGTTTGATAGGGAGAGAAAAACTTTTTTCAAACTCTAACATAGAAACAATTAACTCGAATCATCTGCTCTAAGCAGTCTTTGGCCTCTTCCCACTTTCTGTTTGTTCATTAACTATGAGAAATAAGTTGGTCACCACCTTCTTCTTCCTCTTTTTCTTCAGGAAGCAATCCTATGTTTCTTCCTTCTTATAAATATTTATTAGGATCAAAGATTCTTCGAATGTGTTATAACGACTATACCCATAATGGCTTTACTCTGGTCCCTTCCACTCTTTGTAATGAGATTGTTCTGCACCTGTGTTTTATACCTGGTTTCTGGTCTTTGGCATCTTGATCTTCAGGTTCTAAGAAGATGCCTCAAGTCTCTGAATCATGTTTGTGTATGCTTGAGCCAAGAGCTTCATGTGTGGGACCACACGGTACATTCCTTTACATGACGCCCCTGCTGCGTGGCAGCTGTTTTTCGTTAGTACTCTAGTGATGCCATCAGAGTGTTCCGGAAACTCCGCTGATAGTCCGCTTGCTGCTCCTCCTAATATCCCTTTCTTTCCCTTTCTTTATTTATATTTATTCATTTGTCAACATTCCACTCCCTAGTTGATGCCTACACTCCATACATTCAAGAACTTTTTCTTTATTATTCCCCTCCGTAACTTTTACCATTTCCTAGAATGTTGCCTGGTCCGGTAGGTGCCCAGTAAAATACTTGCTGAATAGAACGTGACTGAAGGAGTCTTCAAAGCCTCTGCCCCTTTCCCAGTCCAAGCCACACTGTTTCTCGTCTGAATGAATCCCATCTGCCAACTCTTTTCACTCCCTCCAGTCTTGCCCCTGAACGGTTTTGTACACACTGATCAGGATCCTCTTTTACAAGCAAACATGTATATCATTGCCATGCTCGCAGTCCTTTAAGAATTTCTAACTGTGGTTGGCATAGTCTAAACTCTGGAGAGTAATAACTTCATGTGGTCCTTCACAAGCTGGCTCCAGACTCCTTTTCCATGTCAGCCTCAGGCTACCCTTAGCTGGAGGGCACTTCTCTCTGTCTCCCACACCTGGACAAATCTCCTCCTCATCCTTCCTCTCTCAGCTCAGATGTCACTTTTCTGTAAGTCTTCATTTGCTCCCTTAACCCAGGGTGGCTCCCTCGGTTTTTATGTCCCTACAGCACCCCTAAGTTCTTCTGTCATGAAACTCATGCATTTCATCACGTATGCACACATCAAGCCCCGAGTGGGGTCCTCAGAACTTGGTGATCAAAGGAGAACATGGGGCTTATACTTAGTGGAAAAAAGTATTAAACAAATCATCACACAAATAATCAGCAAAACTGTGATGAGTGCTTTGAAGGCAAAATGCAAGTACAATGAAAACTTTATAGTAATAGTGGGCCTGAACCTACTTGCAGGAGTCCGAGAAGGCTCTGAGGCAAAGATAATAATCAAACCTAATTGCAGAGGAACAGCCACCCAAGGAGAAAGGGTCTAGGGGTCTACTATAAGCACAGGGTGATTGTGTTATTATAATTGTTTAAAGTGTCTTCCCAATTGCATGTGTCTGTCTCATTTACTGTAAATTCATTAATACATTTATGATCTTAATAATGTATTAATTCATTATCAAATCACAAGACAATTAAGTCGAAGCCTAATAAACTAATAGATATTAAGAGTCTCCAAGACCCAGGACATAACTGAAGATTCAAAATTTATGTCCATATTCAGCTATAAAACAACACCATGATTGGATCAATAGTTCTTAGACTGTGTTTCCTGGTTTCTTAGCATATTAATACAGAAAAATTCTTGTGGACTCAAGCTACCATATATTGGTTCATATGGGTGAAAAAAATAAGGTTAGGTCTAGATGCAGGCATTGCTGGATACAAGCCTAGGTCAAATGCCTGTGCCTTGAGCCAGGGCAGTAAGTTAACCCAATGGGCACTTCATGAGCTGAGAGGATAGGAATGACAGTGCTCACACACACAGATAAAATTAAAATGTGGATATGAGAAAGATGAGGAATTGATTGATGCTGTACTGCTGAGCAGGCAAAAATTTATAATTGTTTCCTATCAATAATTCTGCTAGACCAGCTATAGCAAAACAATTTAGTCTTGGGACCCCTTTACAGTCTTTATTTTTATGTTACACTCTTTTTGTTTATTAAATCATAACCGTGTAGATTTATGGGGTACAGTGTGCTGATTTGATATCCAATGCAGAATGCTTACATCAACCTGATTAACATAACCACTGGACCCCTTTACATTCTTAAAAGTTGTTGAGGACACCAAGAATTTTTATTGATGTTGAGTTGTAATTACAAATATTTGGCATAAGAGAAACCCAAACTGAGAAAATGTTAATATCTTAGATATTAACATAATGTTGATATAGTTTTATAAAGAATTTATAATAATTTTATGTAGTTATTTAAGTTTTAAAAGCCAGATTTCCAAGAAAAAAGGAACAGAGAGAAGAGTGACTCTATTTTACATTTTTTCAAATCTCTTAACTGTCTGGCTTAATAGAGCATTACATCACTTCTGGAATTACTCTTTTACAATATTACAC